TTTGGATTTCTCTTTGCTATCTCTCTACGGATTCTAGCAGCCTGTTAAATTTGTCATTCTGCTTTTGTATAGCTTTCCTAAATTCCTCTATTGCTTTGTTCATATGTTCCGTGGTTTGGTCTGCATTCTGAATGATCTCCTTCCTGATCTGTTGAAGAGCTCTGTACATAAATCTTTTGAATTCTACCTCCAGTAATTCCAAGACATTCTCTTCCTCTGGGAGGTTTCCTGGTTCTTTGTTTTGGTTGCTTGCTGGAGCCATCATGATCTGCCTCTTTATGTGATTTGATATTGACTGTTGTCTCCGAGCCATCAATAACTTATTGTATTTATTTATTGTATGTTTGCTTACTGTGTCCTAGCTTCTTGTTTTGTTTTGATATGCCCAAATACTCTGGGCGTGTGAGCTAGTTTGATTAATGGCGTCTTTGAAGCTCTCATATCCTGTCACCAGGTAGTTAAAGCTGCTACTAGTTGTGTGAGCCCAGGAGTCTGTTTACTTTTCTTGTGTGGATTTAGCTCATGTGTGTTGGTCGTTGGTCACTGAATGTGCAGTGCAGGCTCTCATCTACAGTCCTAGACGAGCACGGCTATGTAGGGGTGACTGGAGCACACACAGGTATCTGGCTGCAGTAGGGGGCTATGTGCAGAGCAAGGTAGGGGGCTGAGGGCTTCCCGAGTGCCTAGGTGGAAGGAATGTCCCTGTCCCCTAGAATATGTAGGTGGGTTGGTTTTGCAGCTGGACTTTGGGCACCCAGTGATGTTGGCTGTAGGGACTGGGAGGCACCACTTATTCTTGGACCCCTGTTGTGGGGAGCTAGGTGGGATGGGTGAAGCCGCCAGTCCTCAGGCCCCTGATGTGGGTGGGTGAGAAGGGTGCTTAATGGGCAGGGTGGTGTCAAATGTCACCAATCTGCCACTTCCCTTTAGCTTTGCAGTTGAAAATAGACTTCAGGTATATACCCTGTTGTATTGTGCTGATGAGGGCCTATGCTGTTGAATGGGTCCACAAAAGTCTAGGCAGGGGTGAAAGGCATTCAAAGTCTGTGGACCCCTTATGCCTATGCCTAGTCTAAGGGGCAGTGTCTGCCCTGAGTTCCCAGCTTAGGGGGCGTGGCAATTTTACAAAGCTGTGAGACTATTTTGGGTGCGATTAGTCCTGAGCTCCCAGCTTAGGGGAGCTGGCGGTTTCTTTTGTTTGTTCATTTGTATATTTGTTCCCTCCCCAAAGCCAGGAGACTGGCTCAGGTGTGACGGGTCCCACTTCTGGCCTATGAGGAAAGGCAATCACTGAACACTGCTGGACTGGCACTGGAGCACAGTGGGGAGCGGGCAGGTGAGGGGAAGAGAGGCACTTCTCCTACAGAAGTCCCAAAGGGAAAGGGTTATTTTGATCCTGCACAGTAGGTTAGACGCTTGCATTTAACTTTTGCAGATCCAGCACCACTTTCCCCTGGCTCTAGGGTCTTGTGCAGACTCTCTACCACTTGGTTTCTCCCCATGTGGTAAAATGCATCCAGAGCACTGCTGTTTGCCTCAGCCCGCGTGCACCAAATGTTCCAGCCTGCAGGGTGCTGGCTAGGTCAGGACTGGCACTTCTTCTCTGCTTCTGAACTGTCTCTCCCTTCCCCTGCCACTCAGTCTGTACTCCTCAACTTTGTCTTTGATGTTCAAGGATCCTAGATTTCATATATAATCGAATCACTTGTTTTTTTGGGGTCTTTGTTGTAAGACGGACCACCAGAAGTGTCTGACTATTCCATCATTTTGGCCCCTCCTCTCAAAGCTGTAAATCTTTATGGAAGCAGAGTGACACATCTTTTTTCCGTAGAGAGGCTGGTGGGTTCCAACTGCTGACCTTTCAGTTAGCAACTGAGTGCTTAACCCCACTGTACTACCAGGGGTTAGGATTTACAACACATATTTTTTGGGGACACAGTTATATCTATAACACCACGCATAAGATCTCCAAGGAACCAAGAAACAGAAGCTGAAAAGGGACAAGGATGTTACCACAGAGCCAACAGAGAAAGCTTTTCCCTAGAGCCGGTACCCTGAATTCAGACTTCTAGCCTCCTAAACTGTGAGAAAATAAATTTCTTTTTGTTAAAGCAAAAAGTGGTATTTCTGTTATAGCAGCACTAGACAACTAAATACTATCCAATACTTAATGTGAGCCAATCCTGTATGAGATATTATGGAAGACCTGGTGCTTGACTACCCAGTTCTAGATTGTTACATGAGAGAGAAAGAAACTTTTCTCTTTAAACTGCTGCATTTTGGGTTTCTTTGTTATACCAAAGAGGACGCTTACACCACATGCTAAGGAATAAACACTGTTAAAGAGTTTGTTGGAAAAACCAGAGCAGAATCATAAAAGCAACAAATCAAAGCAGTGTATGCCAGATTGGGGGGCGGGGGCGGGGATGCTGAAACAAAGACTGTTTCAGTGTAGAGAAGCCCAGAGCGTTTAGGTGGAGAGCCTGAAGAAAAGGAATTTCTAGTGATTAAAATGGAATGATTGAAGGCAGGAATATTTAATTCTCTCCTAAAAACCAAAAAACTTGATGTAACTTTTCTTGATATTATTCTGGTAAATGAGATAAGAAACCCCAGTTTTATGGAAAGGAAGTTTGAATAACAAATTACTATATATTTTTCCGTAAAAATGTTTTATTTTTTATAATTATAGCATTAACACATAGCATTGGAACACTTTAGAATACTGTCTTAACAATGTACAGCATTTTAAAAGAAGTTTAAAGAAAATAAAAACTAGCAGAATCCCACTATCTGAACAACAAAACTACAAACATTATTTTTATTTCTTCTTGTCTTTTTCACTTAATGTACAAGTTGAGTGTATACATATTTTTATACAGTTGAGGTCATATTGTAATTCTGCTGCGCTTTCTCATTTAACATTATGTAAGTACTTCAAGTACTTCTCCTTGACATTGAAAATTCTTCAGTTCTTAGTATTTCTAGCATTTGCTTACCTTCATGAATCAACTATAAAACGAAAAAGCAAATCAGTACGTATCAAAAGGCAGTAATTTTTAAAAAGTACAGAATATTTCCTTTGACTGAGAATTGACTTTTTTTTTTTTTCAAATTATTAGCATGACAAAGCCGTCACAAGCCTAGAAGAGACACTTTAGCATGCTTTCAGGAAAGGACTGTAGAACCTACTTCGTATAATCTTATAGCAAAAACAAATCAAAAGTAAATATTGAGGCACTCTTTTGTCCAAGGGAAATCTAAATTATAAAATAAATAAGTTTAATGCTATTTGTCTGGCAATATCCTACAATAGGTGGAGCTAATCCTCCTTATGACACACACATTAAAACAAGACCACATTAAAACAGGAATGTAACTAAACCCATAGTGGGGGGAGGGGAAAGAGCCTTCTCATTTTTATGGGTATAATCCTGAAGTTCCTTCCCTCATCTGGGATTATCTGCCCACTTTGACAGAACATTTGTATAAACCTAAAATTTCACAACTCCCTTATCTGGCTCCAACCACATTATTTAGGCTGAAAAATCTGTCAGAGGAACAAATGCTTTTTCCTCTGATTTGAGCAACAAGAAAGATACAACAGCACCATCAAATTCACCTAAACTGTGCTAACAGTGGTATTAGTGCATTTCTCCTCTATTTTCCCCCCTGTAAAATGGGTTTAAAATATATCTTATCTACCTACCTACTGTAAAAATTAACTCCCCAGAAGCTTGGACAACACTCCAAGACTTCTGCGCATCTTATCCTTAAATGAATCCCTGCAAACCAACCTCATTAATCTCTCAAGAATGTCGCTTCTAGTTTTCCCAAGGACCTTGCTCACTTTGAAGTAACAGATGGTAGATGTTTACCTAGAAGTTTCTTTTTCCCAAGACCTGTATCTCTAGGATTTTTTGTATTCCATGTGACTTGTTCTTCTGCACTACTATATAACCTTCAAAGAACCAACTGTACATTCTTTTATCACAAGATGGTAAATGGCATATAAGCCAAAAACCACTTTGCAGTAGTCAATAGTTTCTCCAGAACTGACTGCTCTTTTGCAAACGTTTCTCTCTCTCCCTATCTTTCGCTCTCTCAGTAAAAAGTTGACCTCTTTGTCAGACTCTTTTGTTTTTAACACTACTATAGCTCTAACAACGGAGTCCTGGAGGGGCAGTGGTTAAGAGGTGGCTGCTAACCAAAAGGCTGACAGTTCGAATCCGCCAGCTTCTCCTTGGAAATCCTATGGGCAGTTCTACTCTGAACCACACGGTCGCTATGAGTCGGAATCAACCAGACCACAACGGTTTTTTTTTTTTTTTTTTAAATAAATCTAGCAAGGAGCCCTGGTGGCGCGGTGGTTAAAGGGCAGGGCCACTAACCCAAAGGTCAGCGGTTGGAACTTACCAGTTGCTCCATGCGAGAAAATGCGGCAGTCGGCTTCCTTAAAGATTAAAACCAAAGCCACTGAGGTCAAGCCCAACTCATAGAGGCCCGAACATTTAAGGCAGCAGACTAATAAAGATTAACCTTGGAAACCCCACGGGGTAGTTCTACTTTGGCCTATAGGGTCACTATGATTCTGAATTGACTCTGTGGCAAGGGGTTTGGTTTTTATTTTTTTGGTATAAATCTAACATTATGTTGTTATATTGAATACATCTTCTCTTTTCCTAGCTTTTAGAGAATTGCGCTTAGTTTTTATTTTGGATAAATACTAATTCTTTTAGTAATATCATTATAATGGCTCCAATGGAAATATGCATAAATTTCAGCAGTCCCTAAGGAGATGGTGAAACGTGAACGAACTTTAAAATCAAATTGCAACACAAAAGCCAGGCATTATTATTTTTTGGCCTTTGTCACTGAGTACAGTTGTTCTTTGCTTGAGAAGTTTGTCCTTAAGCAGAGAGCCAGAAAAACTGGCTGGGTACTACCGTTACCACGCACCCACTTCCGGGAAAGGACACGCCTACAGCCTGTCTTGCCCCAAGTCTTAGGTAACCTCTGTTTCGAGGTGGCCTCTTGCACAATCAGGAGCGCACGCGGCCTCGGAGACCCGCGCCCGCCCGCAGCTCGGCCCAGTGCACGCCGGTCCCGCGCCGCCGCCGCCGCAGACAACGACGAAGAAGAGCGCCAATCTTGGGCTCAGTAAGAGTAAGCTCCGCTCGCGGCCGCGCGGTTCTGCCCCACAGCGCGGCGGCCGTTCGCCTAGCGCTCCGCCCATGCTCTCGGCGAGTAACAGGGTTCTCCAGCTGTTCCACAGCCTTTTTCCTGCCCCAAGAATGAGCGATTCTACTTCTAAGATCGTCAGCCCTCAGGAGGCCTTGCCTGGCCGGAAAGAGCCGATACCAGTAGCGGGTAAGGACGCGGGCACGCAAAGAGGGCACAGTCGTCGCTGGTTCGCAAGCGCGAGAGCTCTGGCGGCTGTTCTTAGTCCCCCACCTGTCAAGGAATACCGGGGCCTGCTTTGGTTTGGGCTTTAGTCCGGGTTCCGCGCAGGAGCGATGAGGCGCTAGCAAGGGAGCAAAGAGTATCCACCGGGGTGGGTTTGAGCTGACTCTTTCTCAGCTTCTCATCTTGCTAAAACAAAACACTCCGAAGGAATCTAGTGTGTTGATATAACTCACCTATTGTGTAAAATACCTTGGCGGCTGCAAACTTTGGATAGGAAAATCACTGACCTGAACAGGTGTACGCCACAGGATGTGTTTTGTGTCTCTTTCTTTACGCTTTTGCCCGGGGCACTGTTTCCGGCCACTTGCAGCGATGTTGCAGTGCTGTACAGGCACTGGGAGGATACAGAACGGTGAAAGCTTAAGTGTTGAAACTGAATCTCAGTCCGGAGCTGTGGCTGCTGAAATTATTCTCAGCCTCCTGTTATCCTCTAGGACACCCCGGGTTTCCCCAAATGGCAGAAGTGGCCCTGGCCCTGCACTCTGTTGTGGAGGAAAAACATCGTAAAGTTTAGTAAAGCAAAAAGAAAGTTTTATTTGGCATATATTCAAAAGGACAAAAGTGGGAAGCGGACAAGCATGCTGCCAGAGCTAGAATGTCTACCCAAATCCGAGGAAGGTTACAGAGTCATTAGTATATAGCAACATCACAAAATAGGTAGAATCATTGAAAGCGTCACCTTTTCACAGATTGGCTAGAAATTGTGATCTTACATTTTGAATCATCTTTCTTAACAATCGTTGGTACAGGTTTCGATTACAAAAGTCAGGAGGGTCTTCAGTGGTCCAACAAATTTCTATTCCCTAAAAGCTAATAAAAAAAGACAAAAAGTGGGAAGTCTTTTGTGTTAGGTTTGATTGCCCTTTTGCAAAAACTTCCTTAAGATAATTTCTCTGATTGTCCCATCTATTGTCTATCTCAGGGCCCAGTTGATGTGTCTTTGTGCCTCTGTGAGGGCCCAGCCCAAGCTGGGTCAGATTTCTCCATGCACAAGGTCAGGGAATAATGATTCCAAATATTATTTTCTAAATCAACTCCCTCCTCTGCGTGGGGCTAAGTGGGTGGTCTGCGTTCTTAGGTGAGGTGGGCCCCTGTGTATCAGTGGTGCGAAAGTGTTTTTTTAGAGCAAGACTTCCCAAACTTTAAAAAAAAAAAAACAATTCAGTCAATAGCATACCAATACTTTTGGAAAATATAATAAAAATGAATAACTAGAAAAATGACCACGTACTTGCATGCCATACCCATTGGCCTTGAGTTGATTCTGACTCACAGTGACCACTGCCCTGGTGGTGCAGTAGTTAAAGCGGTAGGCTGCTAACTGAAAGAGTGGTGAACTCACTGGCTGCTCTTGGGGAGAAAGATGTAGCAATCTGCTTCCGTAAAGATTACAACCTTGGAAACTCTTTGGGGCAGTTTGCACGACATAGTAATGTTAAATTGCTAGAAAAGTCTTCAAAAGCATAGTCTCGATTTCTGCCTCAGACTGGTAACAAACAGTTCCCAGACAGCAATAGTAAGGACCATACTATGAGTAGGATTACATTAGTACAGTGATTCTCAAAGTGTGGCCCCCAGAACAGCAGCATCTGCATCACTTGGGGAGCCTTGCCCCTGACTACCGAATCAGAAACTGGCGTGGGCCCGACCTGATTTTTAAACAAGCCCTTTGGGTGATTCTAATGCACCCTATCGTTTATAAACCATTTTCTTAGAGCTCTGGATGGTTGGTTAAGTGATGAATAATTTTTTACTTATGGTTTAATGCCAAGATATTTCCTGCATTTAAAAATGCCCTAAAAATTCCTGTATTTTTCTTTTCCTTAAAGAATTGTTGAGTGTAGCAGGAGATCATGGCAAGCATTCATACCATCATATAGAATGAGATTAGAGAAGATAGAGAATTATTAGATTTGAGGCAGTTTGGAAACTGATACTGTGTGACCTTTTTCTCAATCACCTACATTAGCAGTTTCTATTCCCTACTTCTCTGATCACTTTGCTTCCAACCCTATGCCACCTATTCCCAGCCCTAGAGATTTATTTATTTTTGACTTAAAGTCAGAGAATGAATTTTGAAAAAAATCACAGATTTTTCTTAATTTTATTTACGTTTTATTAATTTATTTAAAAAATAAATTCTCTTTTACAAACCAGGATTCATAAATGGATGTTTAAAGATAATACTTTCTAAAAGCTAACCTTCTCCAGCTTGTACTGTACAGTTTTTATACACTACAGTGTCTTTGGTATGCCCTCCCGGACACATAAAAATCAAACAAAAAATTCTTTATCAGATTTCTAAACCAGTTCAGGATTTTACCTTTATCGATATCAGTTGTTCACCACTTGTTTATCAGTTTGTTGTACTGTGGTGGCTTGTGTGTTGCTGTGATGCTGAAAGCTATGCCGATATTTCAAATACCAGCAGGATCACCTGTGGTACACTGGGTTTAGCAGAGCTTCCAGACTAAGACAGACTAGAAAGAAGGACTGGCGAGCTACTTCTAAAATAATTGCTCAGTGAAAACCTTATGAACAGCAAAGAAGCATTGTCTTGATATAGTACTGGAAGATGAGCCCTTCAGGTTGGAAGGTGCTCAAAATACAAGTGGGGGAGAGCTGCATCCTAAAGTAGAGTCGACCTTAATGATGTGGATGGACTAAAGCTTTTGGGACCTTCATTTGCTGATGTGGCATGACTCAAAACGAAAAGAATCGGCTGCAAACATCCATTAATAATTGGAATGTGGAATGTACGAATTATGAATCTAAAATTAGAAATTGTCAAAAATGAAATGGACTGCTTGAAGATAGATATCCTAGGCATTAGTGAGCTGAAATGGACTGGTTTGGGGCATTTTGAATCGGACAATCATATGGTCTTCTATGACAAATTGAAGAGGAACGGTGCCACATTCATTGTCAAAAAGAACATTTCAAGATCTGTCCTGAACTATAATGCTGTCAGTGATAGAATAATATCCATACGCCTATAAGGAAGGCCACTGAATACCACTATTATTCAAATTTACGCACAAGCCACTAATGCAAAAGATGAAGAAATTGAAGATTTATACCACCTTCTGCAGTATGAAATTGATCAAACATGCAGTCAAGATACATTGATAATTACTGGTGATTGGAATGTGAAAGTTGGAAACCAAGAAGAAGGATCAGTAGTTGGAAAATATGGCCTTGGTGATAGAAATTACGCTGGAGATTACATGATATAATTTTATAAGACCAACGACCTATTCATTGGAAATACCTTTTTTCAACAACATAAACGGTGACTATACATGTGGACCTTGCCAGATGGAATACCCAGGAATCCAATCGACTACATCTGTGGAAAGAGACGATGGAGAAGCTCAGTATCAGTCAGAACAAGGCCGACTGAAGAACAGACCATCAGTTACTCATATGTAAGAGTAAGTAAAGCTGAAGAAAATTAAAACAAGTTTATGAGAGCCAAAGTATGACTGTGAGTAAATCCCACCTGAATTTAGAGACCATCTCAAGAACAGATTTGACACATTTAACACTAATGACTGAAGACCAGATGAGTTGTGGGATGATTAAAGGACATCACACATGAAGAAAACAAGAAGTCATTAAAAAGAGAGGAAAGAAAGAAAAGACAAAAATGGATGTCAGAAGAGAGTCTGAAACTTATTCTTGTAGCTAAAGTGAATGTAGCTAAAGTGAATGGAAGAAATAAGTAAAAGATTTGAACAGAAGGTTTCAAAGGGTGGCTTGAGAAGACAAAGTAAACTATTATTACAATGAAATGTGGAAAGGCCTGGAGTTAGAAGACCAAAGGGAAGAACATGCTTGCCATTTCTCAAGCTGAAAAAACTGAAGAAAAAATTCAAGCCTCAAGTTGCAATATTGAAGGATTCTCCAGGGAAAATATTAAATGATGCAGGGAGCATCAAAAGAAGATGGAAGGAATAC